CACCCACACGCACACCCACACACCCACACCCACACCCACACACACCACACACCCACACCCCACACCCACACCCACACACCCACACCCACACCCACACACCCCACCCACACCCACACCCACACACCCACACCCATTTTCATCAACTTCGTACGCTACATATTGACGTACGAAGGAATTCGGAAGAACGTATTTAACTACTCATAATAAGAAGTATTTGAATAGTAATTCTAGTGTTAAAACATTTGTTGTTTTTCCACGAAAAACGAGATGTACAATGACGCAGTAAAGAATAGGCTAAATGAATGTTAACTGGAATCTTCCTTACGGGAACTTTCCTTTTTATTGCTATCCACATAAAAATGAGTATTAGTAATGTTGAAATAACATTGCTGTTGATTGATATTTTAAAGAGGAAATGACTTGACCGAATCATTTTTATAATAACTTAGCGAAAGCAAACAGTAACAAGAAAGCTGTTGGTGCAATCCCTGCGGGATGAAAATGTAAAATGCGATATGTCTATTGTTGCTATTGCCTTAAAAACTACTCTTTTTTACGTATACTGAACATAGTCCATCAGCATTACTAAATTTACAGTCTTTAAGGCAGCTATTAGCCGCCATGACGATCCATGATGGCCCTTGAACTTTGTCTGTCACAGTCTGTGGTAGGAAGTAAAGTGCAAATTTCTATCCTACTTCGCATTGATCAAACAATATCTCTTCTGAAATGAGTGATAAGTAATTTATTTTAACATTATTAAATTGAAGTAACGAACTGTTGAATTTGAAATGTAAACAATCAGAAATCATAAGATTACGGTGCTATAATGAATTTCAGTTAGTGTGTTTGTTTTCTTAGTAAGCAATCATTATTCTATTTGGTCATCATATGAAATACATTATGGTCAAATGACCAAAATATCTATTGAAATAGCTGATTTTAATCCTTCTCTTTTTTCTAAAGACAAAAACGAGGTCTGAAACATTTATACTTAGAGCTTTTATAGAATAAAATTGTTTAGAAATAGTGAAAAGTTCAGTGGTCGAATTGAATCTATTTTCATAACTAAGAAATTCTTTTAAAATTAACGTAGAATTTAAGTTATCGATTTTTCGAACGTAGTTAATCTTAGGTTCGAATTTTACTTGAATTTTAAAAATTAATCCAATCGAAAATTAAATTAAATCGTCTATTTCTAGTTCCTTCTATTCATTATTTAATTAGCCCATTAGAGACGTAATTGAACAGTGTTGTTTTTTCCATTTAAAATTAGTTTTTCGATATTTATCTCAATTTTCGATTCTCGTTAAATCATATTATCATATTCAACTTTTGTTTGTCGAGATCTTTTGATGTTTCTTGCTTTTTCTGCTAGAGATTGCAACACAATCAATTCAGCCAATTGCATTACATGTACCTCGACTAAAACGACTCAAAGTGGCTGGAAAATACGAGTTATTTCACTCCTTTTACATAGCTCATAATCTTCATGATTTAAGTATCGATGTTCAATGTCTCGATATCATAATGAGAGATGATTCCGTCGGTCAATTATTTGAAAAGCAAATCATTCGTCTCCATATTCGTGATATTGTAGATATTGACTTGATTCGATTTGATGACATCGCTCGAAGGTTCAGTAACCTTCTTTATTTAATTCTATCAATGGAAGATTTAAAAGTACCCATCGATTCTCTTGTATTACAAGTACTTACAACGTGGAGAAATAAAAGGCTTTTCTCACTATTTATTAAAGGCTTTTCTCACTATTTATTAAAGGCTTTTTATCAGATGAAATAAGTAACAATTTATATCAATGGTTAATCGATCATAGTCATTTACGTCTCGAGGACTCGTTCGTTGTGGAGTATAAAAACAAATGGATTTGGGTCTAGCTTTAATAAATTATATTGATCATCGCTGGAATTGATCGGCTCTTCTATGCTACTACATGTGATGATATATTCATATTGACTGAGCACAAGTAGATTCAAATAAACTGTAAAATATTCACTATTGTTTTCTTTCGTTTTCAAATGACTAAAATATTTTTCAATTCTTATATTTCATTCATGCATATATTTTCTAAGAATGCCAAATGACGGTATGGGTGTGGATGTGGGTGGCGTGGGTGTGGTTAGGTGTGCGTGGTGCGAATGTGGAGTATGGATGTGCGCCTTCTCTTCATCCACATACCCACACACACCCTATCTAGGATTATAGAGCTCACCGAGCTCTACAAAATGCACTAGTTAACATGTAGTTTTGATTGAAGTAAAGTACCAAAATGACTCATTTTCGTTTCAAAGCTCATTAGCCCTCTGAAAGTCCTCAAGGTCAAATCTCTATAACTTAGCACTAATTTATTCCATAGGTATGAAAATTTTATTCAAGACACAGTTTTCGATGGGCTATCTCATGAAATCATCAGAATTAGGAAATTATATGTTCAAATACTATAGATGTCTAGGAACCCTTGAAACAATATTTTTCGGTACTAACTATCCGAGCTCTTGTGCGGAGTTATAGCAATGTTACTAACGCTAACTAATAGCCAAAAAATCATTGCAGTAACCGTTACTAAAATCATTGTCATTTCATTACGGATGTACGCTTGTATTTCCTTCTATTGCTTCGCATACATTGGCATAGAAATTTGCTAATTAAGATAATAACAATTGAGGATGTTGGCAGTCAATTATATTTTATGAAAGAATCACAATGATTGAAGAAAAAGAATGTTCTTTAATAAACAACATTCACATACAAAACTAAAAATATATTGATTTCTACTGTTATTTTTAATGCATCATCGAAATATTAATGATTTACATATGTTTGTTCATGACATTTCTTTGGAATTGATGGTGGAACATCAATTGCTGCACTACCAGCAAAAAATCCAACAGGTTGTAAACGAAATCCAACAGTTTCAACAGTCATTACAGGCCAATCTTCAGGTCGAACAATATGAGTTGTACCAAATGTATACCATGTTACAAGATCACATTGAACTAATGAATCATCTTTATGTTTTTCACTATAAATTGCAATACCATCTTCATCTCCTTTTGATTGATTAGGAAAAAGACCAGCTGCATAAAATTCTTGAGGATAATATTGTGTTCCCCATAAATGATACCGTGTAAATGCACTTCTACCACCTTGTGTAGAATCTAAATCACATAATGGATAACATGCTGGATTCGATGGAACAAGTTTATAACCAATTGGTTGATTAACATGATTTTTAACTTGAGAATTAATTATTTTCCAAAAACGTCCTATAGTTGCATCATGTAATCGACGAGCTTGACCAACAGTTTCTAAAAGTGTTTCTTTTGCTATCCAAGCATTGCCTGCTGGATTTTTTTCTCCTTTTGGTAAACGTTCACAATTAATTTCAACAAGAGAATTTTCCATTCCATCAAGCATCCAATCAATACGCATATTAAAAAAATGTTGATGATGTGGACCATACAATCCTTCAGATACTAATCCGCCTGATTCCGAGATTTTACCATTTTCAATTGCACCTGAAAAAGAGAAATTTTTTTTGTTGTTCTAACAAAAAAACTATTCTCTATTTTCATTCACCTGGTGCAATAATTCCAGTAAGTTTACTTTCAAATTGAATAGTACCATCTTGTAAAAAATACCAAAATAAACCATATTCATAATTGCCGGCTGTAAACATAGAAGAAACAACAAGACGTCTTGCACGACGACATTCAGTACGTTGTTCAACAAATCTAATAGAAATAAAATAGAAAAAAAAATTGTAGGAAAGAATTTGTTTTACTCAGTATGTTTCCAAAGTATTCCAATATCTTCTTCATGAATACAAATAGCATTTTTTAATAATAATGCTTGACCTTGATTATTATGAATAATTACATCCAAATAACGAATTTCACCAAGACAATCACAGCCATATACTAAACTATTTGCAAGTATACCTAAACCAGCTTCACCCATGTCAAATGCATTTTTATAATTATGTGAAGGACTAGCATCACCATATGGTACCCACATTTCACTAAGTGCTGCTCGATATAAAATAGATCTCCAACGATTTTGATCAAAATATTCAACCATATTTATTGTAAGAGCTAGAAAATAAAGCATTTTTATTGTAATCAAATTAATAAAAAAAAACAAATAATCTGATTAACCTTCACGAACATTAAATCCAACACGAAAACGCCATTTTTGCCATGATATTTGATAACCATCAATTTCAAATGATGGACCTTCTGGTTGAGTAATGATTAATGGTTTCAGATCTTTTCGAACACCATCAGGAAAATAAGGAATATTATCTGGTGATTTAATACTTTCTGAATCATAATTCCCAGCCTTTGGAGGTATTGGTACAATCATATAATCTTCAACTTCAACAGTAAATGAATCTAAATCAACTGTTATTACAAGACCTTCAATATGATGAGCATAATAATTATCTTCTGGAGTTTTTCTAATAGCACCATATGGACGAAATATTCGTCGTTTAGATGCAGAATCTCGTTCATCACGATAACTTGCTGAAAATGGATAAAAAACAACGTCATACATATTAATATTTCGTTTTGCAAATGCAGATAATAAAGCTTCACTTTTACGAAGTGCATTATCAGCTTGGATTATTTCATCATATGATCCACTAGGTTGAGCGCATTTAAATTCAATAATATTTTCAATAGTTTTATTTGTTAAATCAACAATAAATTGATAGGTTGTTCGTCCTTTTGGATCTCGAATTGTTACAGTTACACATCGTTGTAATGTATCATTTGATTTATAATTTCGAACATAATTTTTATCTTGAGGTTCATTTGGAATAATTGAAATAATACGCATATAATCTTGAAATTTTGATGATTGTTTAAGTAATCGTGTTGTTAAATTAATTTCATCTAAAAAAAATAAAAGATCTATTTAATAGTGAAAATTAAAATATGATCTACGTTTTTTTTAATAGATAAATTCTTACCAGCATTTAATGGATCAAGTGGATGTTGTATAGGTAGTGAAACACCATCAGGAACAATATTCTGTGATGGAAGATTTTCTTTTTCACTTGGATGAGTTGGAATTTTTGGAGGATGTGCAGCTAATTGTTCTTCTGCAGCTCGATCAGTTAGATTTTCTGTTGATTTCGACATTATTTTGATCTTGAATAATCGAAATTTTCAAAAGAAAATAAGAAAAATGAATCCAATTATTTATCTAGGCTCTCTGTTTTTTTTAGTTGATTGAGAAAATAATTACATACAGGATGTCCTAAAATCCGACCAGAAATAAACTTGTGTAACTATTCAACTGTTCGAGTGGTTCGCATGAATTCTGCATCATTTTATAGCATATTCTCTTTATTTGTGCATAATAATATGTGAAAGAAAACTGAAGAGAGAATACGCTATAAAATCATGGGAATCACTCAAACAGTTGAATAATGATACAAGGTTGAATTCGGGTCGAACTGGGATGCCCTGTAGATACATATTGTTCTTCTATTCGTTTCTGCTTACAGTAGAGATTAATTCACTCAGTCAGAATGCCTCTTATCATGATATATACTTTACTTCGTTTTTAAAGTAGATATATCCTCCCGGCAAGCAATAGGTAAACTTTGTATTTCGAATATATTTCCACCATAAGACCACACTTTTTTAAAAGTAATTACATATTCATTCAAGCTCGTGGAGTTTTCTATCACTCTGTATATTTACCTATTTTCTTATATTGATTTATTTTAAACAAAAATTGAGTACAGTGAACCAGAGATAAGCACAGGATAAGACAAAAATCAAAATCGCGTCCTGTCCTGCTTTGTCCCGCTGACTTTTTGTATCCTGAGAGGTGATAGGATAATGCATGAAAACTTTGTCCTATTTTGTTTTGCTAATTCATTCCATTTTTTGAGCGACAGAGGGTCCTTAATCTGACTATTGTTGATCAAAGCAAATATTGCTATTATTTACGTTAGACCTAATTTACTATTTACTATCCTCAAATACAAGAAGTACACTCTAGATTATCACTTATTTTATATGTACAACAAAATATAATAAAATCTTAATTTTATATATTGATGGCACATTCATGACAAGAAAAAAACTCAAAAAAATGAACATCATTGATTGTAGCATGATTATCTTATTTTATACTAGATACTATCTATGAAAAGTAACAACAACATAGGCCTTTATCACAAAAAACAACTATTGTCATAAATAAATGTACTATAACAATTGAAACAACTAATATATCCTGGCATTCTTTGAAATACGCCATGTTCAGCTAATTTTCCTGGATAACAAAAGACTTTCCATCAACCTATTGGCGGTGTTGAGGATTCTTTTTTTTATAACAGTATATTTATTTGCTCGGTATTTAAGTAATTGTTTAATTTTTGAGGAACTTAATGTGTTCGACGATGGTGAAATTTTACTACTACTCATGCTGAATATTTGTTTTGAGAGTCAATAAATCAAAACAAATAAAATACAAAGTAAAATAAAAAACACTCAAGGCGAAAAGGACAAAGAACACTTGTTTCGTTTTGCTTTCTCTGTGTATTGTAGCTGAAAATATCTGAATCATCAATGATTGCATCTAATTGGTAGCTTTTGTTTAACGAATATTTGAATTAGTATTATAATTCATTCTCATAGCGATATCTATCACTCATTACATACGTCGAGTGCTAAAAAGTGACATGTCGAAAATGATAGTCAGTCAAAAAAAAAATATGAATAACAATAGAACGAGAAAGTTCACACGAGAAATTTTTCTGTCCTGTTCTAATCGTTATCTTTGTCGTGGCGGGCGGCAGGACAGGACAAAAATCAAAATCGCGTCCTGTCCTACAGGACACCAGGACGACAGGACTGTCCTGTCCTGTGCTCATCTCTGCAGTGAACACATCGTGAATCGACAAGTGCTAGAAATCTGCATTTTTCATTGTTTTCGGAGTTTTATTTTTAAATTTATTATTCCTATGTGAAACCTTTTTTAAAAAAATCAATGATAGATTCTGATAGAGCTTGAAATTTCCTACTATCCCATATATTTTTATCCTGTCTTGCATTTATATGCTGGGAAATAATGTGAGTATTACGCAGACATGCCCTTGACAAGCTTTAAAGAGAAGTAGCTTTTTTTTCTAATTATCTCTACCATCTTTTTTTTTTCAAAGGTCCACGATGATAGAAAATTTCAAGCTCTTGAAAAATATATATAATTATTTTTCTCAAAAGGTGATTCTATAGTGATGAAAAATTTCAAAAACTAATTTTGACAACAGTGACAAAGTCAAGTTTATGAGAATGAGGATGCCTTCATTGTCCTCAATTTATTTTGGTAATAAATAGATCGAAACTCAAACCTAATTATACAGGATGATAGGAGACTCCGTGGGCTTGAATGAATATGCAATTACTTTTAACAAAGTGTGGTCTTATGGTGGAAATATATTCGAAATACAGAGTCTAACTATATTTACCGAGGGGATATATATATATTTACTTTTTTTTTCTTCATTAGAAAGAAAAGAGAGCAGCAAACTGACGAATATCATCTTAGGGCACACAAACACTTATTTTTATCTTATTTTTTTATCATTATATTAAGCAAACATGTACGGTGAAAGTATCACATTTCGTCTATATAAAATGAATGTAAAAGGAAGAAATCTATTTAAGTTAAGGCACCCCCCGCCTCTCGCTCAACATAAAATCCTGAACCGATTTTCGCTTTGTTATTTTTTGAAAACGTTATCTCCACCGTAATACATTGTATAGAGTTGGACATAGTAAGACTGAGTCATCCTTGAACCCCTGAAAATTTCAGGCCGGTTTATTGTACTTTGACTAGAGATATAACAATTTTACTACACATGTCTTTTTTACATAGACTACTTTTCAGTATCTCCAGCGCATCTCTATTACAGTACAATATTGGGAGGTTCTCGTTTTGGGAATGTAACCGATGGCTTCAACCTCCGTGATCAACGTAGGCTGAAATACAAAATTTAGGATCTTAGCCTGCTAATCGTTGAGAAAACTCACAGTAAAAAGCCTACCGTATATTGATAATATAATGTAATGGAACGTAATGTTAATATAATATAATGGATGGTGATAATAATAACTAATAATTTTTTTGATAAAAATCAATAAAATATAACAAATAATAATGTTGATAATAACGATGAAAAAATGGAAGAGACAATCACAATGACAAGATCCGAAAAAGAGAAAAACAACTACTAACTGTTTTTATATATGAATAAACGTATATATATGGATGAATTGCAAAATTATTGTACCGTTGTATTCCTGAAGGTAAAATTTCAATATCTCGAGTTCTACTCAACCAATCCTTATGATTTTTTTTACCCTATATTCTACTAAGAAGTCCTCACTACCACACAAACAAATCACAACGTTATCTTAAATAAGTCCTGAGATATTGGCTGGACAAGGCTC